ACAGCCAGGTCCCCATGGGGAAGGTAAAAGACCTCAGGTGTCTATGAAGGACTATCCCCACAGATCATTCATAAAGAAATTCTTTGTTGGTCTTTCATAAGCAAAGACATGCAAATTGTAACTTTAGGTCTACAGGTTAAGTCTAGCTGCTAAAACTAAAGTCTGTTCAATTCCACACTAATAATATGTTGATTACAAGTTTATCTTCCCAGATGCAGAACAGAGACAAGATCAATCATTCTTCTACCTACCCAGGGATATCTACATAATTGATTCTTCCTTCACTCCTTTTTTTCTTCTGACATTAGCTTTATCTTATGTAAAATGTAGATTTCTTGGGCCTCACAAGAATGTAACCGTTTGTATCACTGCCCACCCCCTTCACCTTTTTTCTTTCTGTCCTGGTCCCCTTTAAAACCTGAGTTCCCAAATCCTGCTTCAGAAAAAATAGTCACAGATCCATCTGTGTTTTTCACAGGTGTGTCCTTAAACTTTGGCTTAATAAACCTTCACTGATTGAGATCTTTGTCCCAGTCACTTATTTTGGGTTGTCAGGGCTCAGAAACTGATATCCCAAAATATGACATGTTGACATGCTGAGCTGAAGAAGCCTCAAGGTCTCTCCCAAAGAAGTTGAAGTTCCTTTATCTGCCTAAGATCCAGACCTACCAAAAAGGACAATTGTTTTTTTCTTCCCCTTCCAGTAAGACCAAAATGTAACCACACCTGAACAGACCGTCTCACTGAGAGGACTAGTTACAAGTTAATCTTTGTTCCCAGATCCATTCTTCTCTCTAGTAATCCTTTATTGCCCCTCAGTAGAATTCCTCTTCTCCCCACTCCCATAATCTGTTTTGTCAGGATGGTACATAAGCCTCTGTTGTGGGGATGGGTAATCATTCTTTGTAACTCTACCACAGTAAACATGTCAAATAAATTTGTATGTCTTTTCTCCAGTTAATCAGCCTTTTGTGGGCTGATTTTTCAGCAAACTTCAGAGGGCAAAGGGAGAAGTCTCCCTTGTTGGCTCCCCTACAATAACTGTTTGTTTTAGGCCGATAGGTTCGAAGTAGTTTGTTACATAGCAATAGATAATACACATTTTCTACAGTGACCATATTTATAATTTAAATTTAATTAAAACTTTTCATATTTAAAATAAGCAAAATCAAGCCAGGCAAGGTGACTCAGACCTGTAATCCCAGCACTTTGGGAGGTCAAGGAGGGAGGATGGCTTGAGGCCAGGTGTTTGAAACGAGCCTAAGCAACAGTGAGACCTTATTTTTGCAAAAAATTTTAAAAATTAGCTGGGCATGGTGGCATGTACTTGTATTCCTAGCTACTTGGGAGGCTGAGGTAGGAGGACAACTTGAGCCCAGGACTTTGAGGTTACAGTGAGCCACGATCACACCATTGCATTCCAGCCTGGGTGACAGAAAGACTCTGTCTCTAAAAAAATAAAACTAAAAAATTAAATGAGTAAAATCTAGTAAGCAGAGCATCTTATTGCTTTAATATGGCTTATATCTGTTTGGGGATGCTATATTTAACCACAGGAGTTGTGGAGGAACTGGAATGTTTAAGACATTATGGTCCTTGCGCTCTAAATATTTTTATTTGGATAACTAAGACATATAAATACAGTGCCTTGCACATATCAGACCAAAAAAAATAAGGAATGAATGTAATTATTGATCTGAAAGCACTAAATACTGTATGAACAAGTGGTTAAGTGGTGTTCATATGAAGTTCTACAGGACTTCAAGGGAGTGGACATTCAGTGCAGATGAAGGCTTCAAGGAGGGGGAGCACTAAGGTATAGGTGGGATTAGTTTCAGAAGATTGACACTTAAAGAGGAAAGGACATACTAAATAGGACAGCACAGATTCAAATGAAGAGGCAGAATTGGTTAAGGGGGCAGAAGAACTGGGTGTGTTTTTGTAAGCTGTGGGAAACAAATTTAAGAAAATCCAATAGATGATCTCCAGGACAATATAAGCAATCTAGGCTTTTTATCCTACAAGGTTAGAGAAGCCACTGAGGGTTTTTATATGATTAAAATGGTGTGGAGGCTAAAGCAACTCTACTTTAGATGCTAATTTCTCAAGTTGACTTCTGATTAACCCAACATCCAGGAATGCCTCTTTAAGAATTCTACTATATCTACTGTTAAGAGCACATCAAAACAGCCTTGTCCCTTTCCCTGAGGGGTTGACTTCAGTTGTCCTACACATCCTATCCTTACAATATAGAAGCCCTGGGTCTGGGGGTAACAGTGAGGGGACCTACTATGTCTCAGCCACCTGGGACATGGCTTCTGTTTGTAAGCCCTAATTAAATGTTCCTGAGAAGCTGGATTTGTCAGCCTTTCTTCAGGCTCTCAGCTTTCTTGGCTTTTGAGGGTAGGTTTGCATAGACCTGCTTTCCATGGAACAAATGGTCTTCAATAACATTAGTCTGGACATAGTGTCTGAGACCTAGCAGAGGGAGACTAGGGATAAGGAGTAAATTCCTAAAGGCTAAAAAAGTTGCAATGGCAACATTACTAATTGTTTTAGTGCCCACTACATATCAGGCACTAAGAGCTTTACATGCATTATTTCATTTATTCCACAGGAACTCTTGAAACAGGTACTAGTATTACCCCTATTTTATAGGTAAGGAAAGAGATGCATAGAGGTTAAGTATCTTGCCCAAGTCTATACAGGTGTTTTGTTTTGTTTGATCCTCCTGCCTGAGCCTCCCAAGTAGCTGTGACTACAGGCATACGTCACCCACGCCCAGCTAATTTTTCTACTTTTTGTAGAGACAGGATCTCACTCTTGCTCAGGATGGTCTTGAACTCCTGGCTTCAAGTGCTCTTCCCACCCAGGCCTCCCAAAGTGCTAGGATTACAGGTGTGAGCCATTGCACCCAGCCTATAGAGGCAGTAGGCCAAAACCAGTACTACTACCATACCACACTACCTGGATGCTAGACACCCCAGACATTTTAAAAGAATTAATGTAATGAGTTAAAGAATTTTAAGACTTCATGACTAGAGAGAAAGTTGGGGAGGGATGGCATTCTTTAAATTTAAAAATAGCTACCATTCATTGAGCTCCTATTATCAGCCCTTAACTGTGTTAGATGCTTTATATATTTTATCCATAATCCTCACAATTTGGCAAGGTAATCCAATACTAATCCCATTTTACAAATGAGAAAACTGAGGCTTGGTGGAATTTGAAGTTTGCTGGATGCTAGAGTAGTCAACAGTCAAAGCCAGGACTCAAATGCAGGCTGCTCCTTCTACTATATCACTCTTCTCTCCTAACCAAGGACTCACTGCTGGGCGCAGAAGGACTGACTGAATGCAGACTGAAAAGAGGAAAGCTAGCCTGCCATTTTCTGCATAATTTTACAACAGTAACACAACTCTTGTCTAACAGTTGAGGAAAACTGATGTTGGATAGAGTAAATGCTTTTTTTGAGTATCTGCTGATTTGGGGTCCCTAAAACACACTTCTCTCAAATCTTGGGAAAAATTAAAAATGCATTTGAAAAGAACAGCATCATTTCTTTATCAATTAGTTTGAGAGAAATGGATTTCCTGTAAAATTTCCATTTTCAAAAATATCATTAAAATGTAACATGGTTTGCCATAACCTACAGGAAAATTCTGGATAAAACTAAACATGAAATATTTACTGCTGTGCTAAATAGTGTAGAGTTTAAGAGCACAAGTACAGGGGTCAGACCACCTGGTCTAATTAGCTGTGTGACTTCTGGAAAGTTTGTTGAACTCTGTGCCTTAGAATCCCTTCTCTAAAATGCAGATAGCAGCATCTACCTCAAAGGAGTGTTGTGGGATCCATAGTGCAAAGAACCTAGCAACTATAAAAGAAAATACAATTTCAGACCGTCTAAATCTATTATGCCAAGGGAAGAGTTCAGCTTTGGAAACCGAGTCAAGTTTCCAATTTGTTTCTTAGATTATAGATTAACTGCTTCTTCATTGCTCTTTTCTGTAAATGACTAGAAGAGACCAGACCTCCTCCCTTTCCAATCACTAATCTTTGTTATAGATAGTTATAGGCAGTTTTATAGAACTGCCTCCTTTATTGTCCTCTACCTAACTCACACCAGATGGTGCAAAAGACCCCATGACTGTTACATCTTCAGTGTGGAATGTTAAATACACCTTTCCAGGGGGGGGCGGGGGGGGGGAAAGACCACAACTAATCAGATCATTGAAACTATGTGTTAAGCCTTCTATAGAAAGCTGTTAAAATTGTTAAGCTTCCCTAAACTTTAAACAGTCCTAAACTTCTACACTTCAGAACACCTCTTTGGAACCTGTGCTTCCTAGGCAGCTGTCCTTAAACTTTTATTGTGAGTAAACTCTCCTTAAACTAGATTCTAAAGCTGCCTGTGGGCTTATGCCTGTAATCCCAGCACTTTGGGAGGCCAAGAAGGGAGGATTGCTTGAGGTCAGGAGTTCCAGACTAGCCTGGGCAACATAGTGAGACTCCTGCCTCTACAAATAATTAAAAATGTAAAAATTAGATGGTGTGGTGGTGTGCACCTGTAGTCCCAGCTACTCAGGAGGCTGAGGCTGAGGCAGGAGGAGCCCTTGAGCCCTGGAGTTCGAGGCCACAGTGAGCTATGATTACACCACTGCACTCCAGCCTGGGCAACAGATCAAAACCCTGTCTCTAAATAAATAAATAAAGAGAGAGAGAGACAGAGAGAGAGAGAGAGAGAGAGAGAGAGAGAGAGACTAGATTCTAACCCTTTTGATGATTTTAGGTTGACACACTGTTCAATACACATTATAAAAAGTAAATATTAAGCCTTCAGAGTAGTCTGTGACATTTAGGTAGAAATCTTGTCCAAATTCCTATCTTTGGTCTCCCCCATTCACCTTTGTGACCTCTTCTTTATAGATAAGAACTCACGTATTGGTGGACTTGAAACGGTTACCATAGTAACTGAAAAGAAACCCGAAGAGTTAAAATGCCATTCTTGCTGCTCTCTTTTAATTAAAAACCCTAAAAAGGCATACCCACTTGGACGTTAATTAACAATCGATTAGTAAGGAAAAGCTATTGAAGCAGTAAACTTAAGCGATGTGGAAAAGTTCTGTTGACCAACATGGCTCTCTCCTCCTTAGGACCACAGTTACAGCTGGAGTCAGAGAAAATACTTTTATCAGGTCCTTAGGGTATCCTGTAGAAAATCAGACAAAAACACAAATCAATCATCCTCTTTAGTCCAAGCTTGAGCACTGCAAGTAAAGCTCTCACTTTTATCTTTTAAAAGATGTTTTCTTCTTTTCCTAGCCCCTTCTTCTACCCAACTACAAAGCTCCAAAAGGTAGTTTTACACTGTTTCAACTGCAGTCAGTAGAGAAGGTGGGGGTGTCAGGGTGCTGATGGGGGGCAGCCTCAGAAGGGCCGACTCTGCCCAGATGGAGCCTCACGGACGGCCGGACGCACCGGCGCTCAGCCGAGGCGAGTGCGCGGCCGGGGCTGCAGCTGGCGTTGGCGCCGCTTGCGCTGGCCGTTGAGGAGCTTCTGCGCGATCTTGCGCTCGTGGCCGCCGGGGACCGGCCGGTTGGTGCGCAGTTCCCGCTCGCGCCGCGTCCGGCCCTTGCTGCGGCCGGCTCCGCACGCCGGGAAGTCGCGCAGGTAGTAGTAGTCGAGGCAGTCGTAAAGCTCCTCCTCGAAGCTCACGGGTGGCGGCGGCCGGGCCCGAGGCTGGGAGCACTTAAGGGCCCGATGGGCGACCCGCTCCATCTCACCAGCCGCCTGGCCGCCACCCGCGCGCGCTCCCAGAGGGCCGAGCGGTCCCGCCCCGCGCTCTGATTGGCTCCAGCAGGCATAGGGGCGGGGCCTCTGTGGCGACACAGAGAGGGCGGTGCGTTGGGCGGGACCTGTGCGCTCCAGCCCCGGCGCCGGTGACCGCCTAGCCCGGGCCTGCGCGCTGGGAGCCGGAGAGACGGGTTGACAAACTGACCGAGCGTTACGTTTACGTCAGTCAAAGTAGAAAACTATCCACGTGTCCACTTGAGGAACTGCGTCGAGAGAGCGTGGGGCTGTGCACTCGTCCAGAGGACGTCTGTCGGCCACCGACATTAGGCTATTTTATGACACAAAGTGTTCAATCACGAATGCTGTAAGGTCAGAGATGTAGCTTATGAAGAAATACCTGTTATCCCAGTGACGTATTTTTAGGACAGATCTGTCTTTAGTAAAGACTGAGAGGAAATTCATCTGATGCTAAACTATCTCCGGCTGGTAGGGCCACACAGTATTTCATTCTTGCTCCTTTTCCTCCACGCGTCCACCCCGCCTTTCGGTGAGGAGCCCGCTCACGGAGAGCGGTGGGCGGGAAAGGCCGTCTGCCCTGCCAGCCCGGCCTTTCGCCCCCGGGCGCTGTGGCCCGCGCGCCGTTTCGGCTTGTCCGCGGGCACCGCCACCCCGGTACCCTGCGACGCTAAGCGCGACAGCGCAAGGTCGTGTGGGGAGACGGCCGAGAGGCGGCCGCTCGGGAGCAGCCTGCCCAGCGCCCCGCCGGCCGGTCGCGGCTGCCCCGACCCCGGGCAAGCGGGAGGTGTGCGCGGCGCGGCGGCAGCGGCGGCGGAACGAGGCCAGACGACCCGCGCTCGGGCGGGTTCCGGGTCTCTCGCGGAGCGCCGCGCTGCGGAGCTGGACTCATTACGCCCCGCGGCAGCCCGGCTCCGCGTGGACTCCCAGGTCTAATTACCTACTTACTGCCTCCCTAAACGCTGCTCTCGGCAGTTACTGCGGGGCAGGCCTTATTTTGGCTAGGTTTGAGGAGCACAGATGATAATTCTTGTCCCACAAAAATTTCAGCTACCCCTCGGGGGTTTTTCAACAGATCGAAAATAATTCCCTGCTGAAAAAGAAGAAAAACAACAAAAACTTCTCAAATATTTGATCTTGCTGAGTTTCTGTCTGTGACCAAACTGCGGATTTGCACCCCAGAGCCAGATCCCTGGTGGAGGCGTGGCCTACATACCACGCCCTGAAGGCAATTTTGGTGGTTTCTGAAATGAAATGAGTCCCGAGAGAGTGTTTTTAATAAAACACAGAGGGGATTTTCTACTTCCACCCACATGTCTTACATCTATGCTACTGGGAAAGAGAACTAATATTTATTCTCTGTATCACTTTCTTTTGTACATTATCTCTCTTTTCTTTTTTTTTGAAACAGTTTTCCCCTTTATCGCTCCGGCTGGAGTGCAGTGGCATGATCACAGCTCATGGGATCCTCACTTCCTTGGCTTCCCAAAGTGCTGAGTTTACAGGTGTGAGCCACTCCCCTCGCTCCTCCAGCCTACATTATCTCTTTTTAAAAATCTGTTTAAAATTTATGGTGAAGTTTAGACATTTTCAAAAGTGAAGTGAATAGAACAATGAACTCTCATATCCCATCACAGAGATTTAACAGTTATCAAGCTCCTGGAACATTTGCTTTATGCATCCCTTTCTGTTTTCTTCTGCTGCATCCTTTTATTAATAGATCAAATTGCAGATATTATGTCATTTCACCCCTATGTATCTCAGATTACTGCTCTAAAAAAAGTAGACCTTTTCCTTATATAACCACAATGCCATTTTCATACCTGACAAAATCAACTGGTCCTGGTATTACCTAATGCCCAGTTGAGAATAAAATTTCTCTCGATGTCTAAAACACAGGATGTCCTAAGAGTCTCCATACAAAGGAAAAATTTTGTAATGAATATTTTGTAAATAAAGGTACATTTAATAATAGCTACAGTTTCCCATTTTCCCTATATATGGTGACTTTTGGGATACCCTGTACGTCATTTTACCATTGGTTTGTTCAACTCAGAATACATACAAAATCTACACACGAAATTTGCTTGTATGGCTTTTAAGTCTCTTATATTTTAGAGCAGCCCCCCTGCCTTTTTAACTTTTCCCTGGTATTGACTTGTAGAAACTGGGTCACTTGTCCTGTAAATGTCCCACTTTGTGGATTTGACTACTTCCTTCTGGTATCATTTAAATTGTTCCTCTCTCTCCCATATTTCCTGTAAATTGAGGTTAGATATAGAGGCTTATATATACTCAGATTCAATTTGGGGGGACAAGAAAACTTCTTAAGAAATGATGGATGTTGGCCTCTCACAATGCCTCATTGTCCCAGTTTTAGTGATGTGGGATCAGGTGGGGATACTCTGACCTTGCAATTGTAAAGTTCCTTGTTAAACTTTTATTTAATGATTTTGTCCATTGTTCATTGCTTATTTGCTATTACTTCATTAGGGGTTGTGGTAATTTTCGAATTTAATCATTCCTTCCATGTTTATTAGCTAGAACTGTTTTCCTCATGAACTAAGGCTGGTTGATTAGCCTGAAATACTCTTTGACAGGAAAGGCAGGACAGATGCTTAATTGTTCCCCTTTAAAAGTGGTTTTTCAGGGATTGTAATGGACTCTACCTTTTTTTTTTCCTTTGATAATCATAAACTTGTGGATCTTTAAAAAATATAGTCAATATGTTTCAATTTGATTCATTTTTATTCCTTTTGATGTTCAATTTTCCCCATTTTTTGGCTAATGGGAGCTCCTTCATCATGTAATTTCTGTTATTTTGGCTTTAACCTAATGTTTATGGATAAAGTTTTTGCTTTCTGGCACACCAAAATGTCCACGCTCATCCTGTACATTTATGCTCTAGACCCAGAATCAGCCATTTCTCCAAGGAGTCCTGGATCCTTTTAATGTGGGGAATGGTATCTAGAGGCAACAATCTTAGTGCTAAGTGTATCATGTCCTTTGATCTTCTCGAATAAAATTTATAGGAGGTGGTTGGTTTGGACCGAGCTTCTGCACTAGGTCCAACAGACCAAACCACATGGAATCACTTGTGCTAAAGCTCCGTGCCACCAGCCAAAACTAAGTTGTTTATCTGACCATCCAAGAAATCAGGAGAAAGAGAGATAATAGCCAGATCCCCTAATAGGTGGGTGTTAGCTGGCATGATAAAGAAGTCTCCTCTGCTTTAACCTTTACAAAGGAAGTAACTTTGAAATGACCAACTGCTTTTTATTCTGTTTCTGCTTTTTTTCAGCTGTTCTGCCTATAAAGCCAAGCTCCTCTGCTCAGCTCACTGGAACACTATTATCTTATAGGAGCTCTGGAAAATAGTCAAATGTCTACAGCAACCAAGAAAATACCCAATTTTTTAAAAAGCCACATTCAAAATGGTAGGAAATGTTGTGCCATTTTCACGCACCCTTGCTCTACCTCTTCCGTGGCACAGCAGTGGTCATGGTGTGAAGTAGATGGCAGCCTAGTTTCTAGTTGTATAGAATGAGGTATTGCTCAATTCTAAAACTGCAAATAAAAGCCAATTAGATCTTTAAACTAAATTTGTTGTGATTTTGACTGTTGACAATCTTTACAAGAACCCTGTGAGATATTACTGTCCCAATTTTCCCTATGAGAAAATAGTAACAACTTTCCCAAGGTTATATAACTAATGAAAAGCAGACTCAAACTGAGGCTGAGGTCTTCTGACCCCTAGGTAGTTACTTCTTTTATTTTACTGTGCTTCTTGGTATGAACTTAATACTTCTTAGTTCACAGACTGATTGCTAATCATCCCTGCCCTCTTAGCTTCTGAGATGGTATTTAAAAGCAGGTGCTACCATCTGTCTTGCTCTCCTGCCCCAAGGACTCTAAGCTAATGCTGATTATATCATTGGAATAAGATTTAAAATATGCCTTGCCCAAGGTCCATGGCAGAGTGATCCCCTGTGTCTGCTTTTTAGCTCATCTTATAGGAGCTCTGCAAAATAGTCAAATGTTTACAGAAACCAAACAAATATACACACACAAAAAAGCCACATTTAAAATGGTAGGAAAATTTGTGCCATTTTACTCATCCTTGCTCCACCTCTTTCATGGCACAGCAGCAGTCTTGGTCTGAACTGGGTAGCAGCCCAGTTTCCAATTCATTCCCTTCAACCAGAGGAAGCAGAGCAGACCTTTTTGCAATTCTCTGACCTGTCTGGGGGCTGCATGATGGGCTGGATTTTGGAAGTTGAGGTGGAAAAGCAGTGGGAAGTGCTCAGGAAAGCTGTAGGGAGAGTACAGACCCACAGGTGCCTAGGGCAAGAGATTATAGATGGAGACATACAATAGACCATCTAAGGCCCTAAGAAGAAGCAGTGAGATTAAGACTTTCAAAAGCAGCTGTGTATATGAAGAAATTGAAAAAGCCACACAGAGACAAGATACATGCTCAGAAAAGAACTGAAAAGACCTTAAGCTTCCACTTCAGTCTGATCCCAAGGCTCGGAGAAGGCCCAGCTACCCAGTAAAGACTGTCCTAGTACAGAGCCAGTCTGCAAAGACTGAAAGAGGTGGCTGTCCTTTCAAATGTGTGATTTTTAACAACTTCACAAAATCACAAGGCATGCAAGGAGGATCCTTTAAAGGAAAAAATTAATTGGCAGAAACCATTCCTAAAGAAGCACAGGCATTAGAATTAGACATACTAGACAAATACTTTTTAAAAACTGTCTTAAATATGCTGGCTAAGGGAAAACATGGATAGAGAACTAAAGGAAATCAGTAAAATGATATATGAACAAAATGAGAATATCAACAAAGAGATAGACATTGTAAAAAGGAAACAAATAGAAATCTTGGAACTAAAAAATACAAAAAAAAAATAAATTGGAAAATTCATGAGAAGGGCTCAGCAGCAGATTTGAACAAGTGGAAGAAAGAGTCAGTGAACC